AGTTACCAACTGTGTGTCATCGAGAGGGACGATAGATCGTCGAGAAAAATGTAAAAGAAGAGTTGCGTTTCGTGGTTAGAAGACTTTTGGTGAGAAACCCAAATGTTGTTACAGCATACCAGCAAAGGATAAACTTCTGAGGACCAGTTCAGAACCACTCAAAGCCCCAAGTAGAGAGTTAACATGAGACACACTAAGCGAATGGAACTGTGAGAAACATTCCCCTCCCCTCTATCGTCCAGTACGCGCTGGACCATTCCACTGTTGGACAATGTGGCATTGAACTGGTGTGGACTAACGTTAAAAAGTCGGCTATTTGTGTGATGAACAGCGGGTCGAACGCGTTCAGAAAAAAAGATAAGGGGGAAGTGTTCCGTGGATTGACCTGAAGAAGTAGAAATGTGGCATTGTTAGCTGCCTGTCTATCGTTTAGAAAGTTATCTCTTTCTGAAGTTCAGTTTGGACGACTTTGACTAGGATTCTGCATTACAGACTTTGCATCTCATATTCAAACTATTAACTTTAGTTGCCGCGCTGTTAATGTCGGAGAAGCATTTCTGTTGAATCCGTAAAATGGTTTGCTTGCGTACTACATACAATTCTGTGATACTCTTTATTCATTACTTATCCTTCTATAATGCAAAAGTGGAACTGGAAACATATCTATGATCTTACACCAAATGTGTTGCTATGTTTTGCTTTGGAAAGTTTTGTTCATCCTCCATTGTCCTAACATACTCCAGACATTGACAAATGTATTCGCTTTTTGTCGCGAGATAATGTCAACATTGAGTGTTGCAAAGGATTCTGAAATGGTAAAGGTAACATGACGATATTTTCCCGTCTTCGGGAGTGTGAAAGAAACATTCGCTTAGTCTGAAACTGTTGAATGACAAAGGTGCCCAGCTTGCACTTTTGAAGATCTGTGAGTCATAGAGAATGGAGAAACGCTCAATGATATTGTGTCTAGTCGCTCAGCAGGTGGCTGCTTTACTATTACCAAAGGACCGTGGGGCGGCAGAGGCTGATCTGGTGAACGTGTGTGCTGATTAGTCTACACTCTACTCTGCGTGTGGTGTGCTATGTGTACTGTGTATGTTAGTGTGTGCCAGTGGAATTATGTAATACATGTCACATGTAAGTACATATCACAGCTACACGTGAGTTTACAGACGAGACAACCGAAGCTGCAGCTGCAATGCATGATGTTCTTACGTCCATGGGTGACGCTTTTCCAGGGAAGTTGGTGCGGCAAAAAGTCGTCAAACCCACAGTGTCCGATTATGCAGTTGAATGAAATGCCACACTGAATCAATTCTTATCGTTACAGATATAATATTGTGCATTAAACAAACATTCCAAAGCTCTTCAATGCGAAAAAGATTAATTTGCAAAGCAGCGAAGTCTTAAAAATCAGCTACAGTTGATGGGAAAAAATACCAAGTTGGTGGGTATCTTGCCGCCCCACCAACTGTATAGGAAGCTCCGCCCCTGCTTACGTCTTACAGTAAGGGAAATATGAGCAGGGGGCCAATTTAATATCGCTATTACCTACTCTTAAATTTTGCAACCCCAATAATACATAAGTGCTGCCACAGGGCACAGCGATGAATGATCTGATTAGTCAATCGCTGTTATCCGCACTGACAACCCATACCCATAACTCTCAGCACACAGCTGCGTCTCTCACCGATGCTGCGAGTGGCACTGTCACCGACGAAAGTGTTCGGACCAACCCGCGCTACCGCTGTGCCGCCGTGATAGCCGGCCGGCCGCCGTGACACCGCGGCGCCGCCGCCGCTCGCTGCAGCCGTCCCGCCGCCGCACCGCCGTCACCCCGTCCAGACTCAGGATGAGTTGTGAGGCATTGTGCAGGGCGGGGCCGCGAGCAGACGCGGCCGGCGGTCGGTACGCGTGCCGCCGACGCTGCCGAGCCGTAGCAGCGCCGCGGCCGCCACCGAGACCGAGATATAAATTAAAGACACGTCGTTTTAAGGCACGTAGGCCGCCAAGCTGGCGCCTTCAGACACCTCCCCGCTGCAGTGCAAGTTCGCACTCGTTTTGCACACGTCTTAAGCATTGCGTATAAAATGTGGGTCACGTACGACCCCGGCAGAGTCTCACTTCGACCGTCGCGCTGTGCGCACGGACTGATCTGCCCCGCTCGACGCCTCGCCCGGCTGAGCGGGGACAGAGCACAGAAGCACGCGCGCAGACCGACTCTCCTGCGCGCAGCCGCGCCCGGCGGGGCAGTGTCAGTGCTTCAGATTGTACAGCGAAAGTGAATTGTGCTCCGTGTCTGCGTGTTTCATCTACCAGTTTTCTTCACAACTGCTTCCGCTTCTTGCTTCGCGTATACTTCAATAAATCCTCTACGGGAAATCTTCACGTCTATCTACTACTGAAAATCGCCGAATATCAAAAACCCAGGAGCTCACATAGCAGGCGGGCGGGCTACGAATGTCGCACAAACTCACCGAATAAAATACAGTCCACATCCAACCAGAAAAGAACTCCGAACGACAGTTTGTCGGCGACATTTGCTGGTCCTCCGGGCCGGATCCTGAACTATGGCAAGTGGAGAAGCAAGCCCGTCTCTAGAGCGAATGGGGGAAAGTGACAAAGAAGAAACCGCTGACATGGAAGAAGTACCAGCTGAACCAGCCGCTGCAGGTCAAGGACAAGCTGCAGTGACTACAGCCCAAGAGGAACCACGAGAAGGCCAATGCTCCAACGGGGAGTGGCGGCACCTCAGACAGGTGAGAGGTCGTCATCGGGCGGCTCTCACAAGGATTTTCCGGCGCGCTGAAGCTCTCGTGACAGATAGAGCCTCACGCGTCCAGCTTGGAAATATCCGCAGAGAAATGGACAGCGCTTTCCAAGCGTTGATGGCCGTTCACGAATGTATCTCTGGATACACGCAGAGTGAGGAAGAAAAAGAAAATGAGGCTCAGTACTTAAACGAAGTTCGTACGGAGAAAGAGAGAATCGAGGAGAAAATCGAGACTTTCATGACAAGCACCACAGACGAACTACAGCTGACCTCTACGAGACAGACTGACTTCAGCGAGGATGGAGGAGGGCAACCTGAAGACGGCTTGGGACGCTCAGTGTCACGCATGACCCGTAGCGTCGCTCGCCGAGCAAGGTCACAGGTTAGTGGCAGCTCGGCGGCCTCTCAGGCATCAGCTGAAGCCAGGATATCATCCAAACTGAAGGAGTTGCGTGTGCGCCAGCTGGAGCGAGAAAGGACACGAGAACAAGAGCTGCGCGAACAAGAACAAAAGATAAAGCAACAAGAGCAAGAACTGCAATACGAGAGAGACCTTCAGAAAGCCAGAGATGAAGCTGAAGCTGCCCGACTGGAGGCGGACCTGAGGGAAGAAATGGAAGACGAGCTCAATGCAGACAGGCGAGACGATTTTGTGGATGAAAATCTGGGAGAACCAATCACCGAGAAAAGCGTTTCTCAAAGGCCGAACTGCTCCAGATCACAACTTCGTTTCTCCGAGCCAGTCTCCATTACGCCCAGAGAACCTCTAGAACCTCTAACCGAAATCAGAGAAGAACCTCCGCAACTAGAACCTCCACGAATGGCGCCCAGTCCCGGTATGTCCACAAGCCAGACGTCATGGATAGATCAGCTGCGACCGACAGCTGCACCACGTCCGGCTCCTACGACATCCGCGTTCACGAAGAGCATCCCCCGTCTCCAGCTGCCGACCTTCTCAGGCAAGCCGTCTGAGTGGCCGCGCTGGATCGGACTGTTCCGAGCGCTCGTGCACGACCAGCCATCGCTCAGCGACGCGGAAAGAATGGCTCATCTGCAAGTGTCAGTGATGGGACAAGCGCAAGAAGCCATCGCTGGCATGTTATTTGACGGCAACCTCTACCAACAAGCCCTCAAAACTCTACAAGATCGTTTCGGCCGAAGCACGGATGTGATTAAGGTACATCTCGAGAAAGTGTTCTCGGCTGAACCTCCTCAGAAGAACAGTGTTCGATCGTTAGAGTACTTCCATTCCGCCCTGCACTGCGCGGTCACGCTCATGCAGGCCCAAGGATATGAGGCGGACCTGTACAGCACAGAGAATCTTCGAAGAACGGTGGTCAAACTGCCAGAATATCTACGGCGTGAATGGGGTAAACATGTGCTCGAACTCCACCCAAGACATCCATCACTCATCGACCTGGACGTTTGGCTGCTGAAGCAGGTCCAAATTGCATCGCTCTGCCAAACCGCTGAAACGCCGAGTGACAGGCGGGGGAGAACCAGAGACCAGACGACCAAGCGAGCAGCGCATGCTACCGCAACTTCGTCACCAGCCTCTCCATCAACGGCACAGAAACCAGGTGGGAATGCGTCGTGTCCGAAGTGCGGTGGCGAACACAGACTGCACCAGTGTCGTGAGTTCAAAAATCTGGACGTCGAAAGAAGAATCGACCTAATATTCGACAAGGGACTGTGCCTCTGGTGTCTGCAAAGGGGACATCTCGCCAGAGAATGTCACAACACCAAGCTCTGTGGTGTAAATGGGTGCCAGAGACGCCATAATCAGCTGATACATGGCAGCACCAAACGAACCACGCCCCTCACCGACCGCTCGGGAGCCGTAGCCAGTCAGCCTGCCAATGAAACAACTTCAGCGGCAGGAGGAGAAGAGGTACGTGTGGTGGCTGCATCTACCTCCATCGGAAAGACGGGCGGAACTCTTCTACAAATCGTTCCAGTTCGAATTCATGGAAAGAAGGCAGGAACTCACCGTGACACCTATGCTCTTCTCGATTCAGGGTCAGAATCTTCCTTCTGCAGTGAAGCTGTGCTGAACCAACTGGGAATCACAGGACAAGACGAACAGCTGTGTCTTCAGACGGTGGAAGGAACTGGAAAACCTCAAGCATCAACTAGAGTTAAGCTAGAGCTGAGCTCTGTGGCCCCTGGGGAAACTCGAAGAATCATCGTGCCTGATGCGTGGTCTGTTCCATCTCTCGACATCTCCATGCCGAACGTCTGCAAGAAGCAGCGGGAGAAGTGGCGTCACATCAAGGACTTGGACATTCCTCAGTGCTCCCATGGACAGGTGGAACTGTTGCTCGGAGCTAACGTCAGCGAGGCAGTCATCCAGCAAGAGGTCCGGGTGGGTCAACCAGGCCAACCGATAGCTGTACGTACTGCTTTTGGTTGGACCCTGACTGGCGCTGTGTCCGACCTGCACCCTGGAAAACATGGACGAACTAGAAGAGCGATGTTCATCCAGAAAGGCTCCGCTGCTGACGAGGAACTGGACAACATGCTGAAGGACTGGTGGACAACTGAATCCTTCGGAGCCAAGTATGAAAGGTCAGTGTCACAGTCGAAAGAAGACCGTCGAGCGCAAGAGCTTCTAGAGTCAACAACCACCAAGTTAACCGGCAACCGCTACGAGACTGGCCTCCTCTGGAAGACTGATGACGACACGCCGTTTCCAGACAGCAAGGTGATGGCTACAAAGAGACTACACGGCACCGAGAGGCGTCTGATAAACGATCAAGAGAAAGCAGCAGCTTACCAGGCCACGATCGATGCATATGTAAAAAAGGGCCACGCCAGAAAGCTGTCCAGGGAGGAGGCACAGCTCCGGCTGCCCAGACGCTGGTTCCTACCACACCATGCCGTGACTAATCCCAATAAGCCAGGCCGCCTCAGGATAGTCTTCGATGCGGCAGCCAGATCGTACGGAACATCGCTGAATGACAAGCTCCTGACTGGACCAGACCTGCTGAAGAACCTCACCGGCGTCCTGCTCCGTTTCCGAGAAGAAAAAGTCGGCATGGTGGCAGACATCCAAGAAATGTACCACCAGGTCCGTGTCATCGAGAAGGACCGACCTGCGCTCAGCTTCCTGTGGCGCGACCTGGATCAAACTAGAGAACCAGACATCTACGAGATGCAGGTGACCATCTTCGGCGCCAAATCGTCTCCAGCGTCTGCCAACTACGTCCTCCAAAGAACAGTCGCGGTCCATGGAGAAGACTGCGGGCTGCCAAAGAAGGCCGTGGAAACTGTGAAGAACAGTTTCTACATGGACGACTTCTTACGATCAGAAGAACATGAAGATGATGCGTTGAAGACGACGAAGCAGGTGACAGAGACACTCTCCCGAGGCGGCTTCCATCTATCCAAGTGGGTAAGCAACTCGCGGCGCGTCCTGGAGAGCATTCCCCGAGAGGAGCGCGCCCAGCCGGAACTAGACCTCACAGAAGCGGAGCTGCCCACACAAGGCGCCTTGGGAGTGGTCTGGGATGCTGAAAGGGACAGTCTGAGCTTCAGATTCCGAGACTCAAGCGTCCCGATGACAAAGCGGGGAGTCCTCCAAAGGACTGCGTCGATCTTCGACCCTCTGGGGATCGCCGCGCCCTTCGTCATCAGAGCCAAAATGTTCATGCAGCAGCTCTGGACCAAGCAACTGGACTGGGACGACGAGCTGGATCGTGAGGAGCAGAAAGAATGGGAAGAATGGCTCCAAGAACTGCCAGCACTGAGAAACATCAGTGTCCCACGCTGCCTCCGTCCAACATCAAGTGACACAATAGCGCGTGAGCTTCATGTCTTCTGCGACGCATCAGAGGGAGCGTTCGGAGCAGTCGCTTATCTCCGTACGACCTCACCAGACAGCACGCATCACTGCTCGTTCATCATGAGCAAGACACGAGTTGCACCGCTGAAGAGACTGTCGATCGTCAGACTGGAGCTGCAGGCAGCAGTGCTCGCAGTGCGCTTGGTGGACGCGCTCCAAAAGGAGATACCAGATCAAGTCAAGAAGGTCACCTACTGGAGCGACAGCCGGGTCGTCCTGCAGTACATCAGCAACGAGAGCAGACGATTCCATACATTCGTCTCAAACAGAGTGGCAGAAATCCACGACCTGTCAGACAAAGGTCAGTGGCGTCACTGCCCAGGACGACTCAACCCAGCCGATCTGTGCTCCAGGGGTGAGACAGTGAAGGAGCTCGCCGACAACCCTCTCTGGCTATCCGGCCCAGACTTCCTCCGACGCGACGAAGAAGGGTGGCCAGAGCAGCTTCACGTTCAGAAGCTGGCTGAAGAAGACGTAGAAGTGAAAGTTGGAGCCTTCGCCACAGTCACGGTGAGGGATCCAAAGGCAGCACTGCCGACACCGAGCAAATTCTCGTCTTGGACAAAATACAAGCGCACGGTGGCCTGGATCCTGCGCTTCCTCCGCAACTCGAAGCTGAAAGGCGAGCAGAAGCGACAGCGAAACCTAGGCCCACTGACCGTGTCAGAGCTCCATGACGCGGAGAAGACCATCCTCCAGATGGTGCACGCGGAGGCATACAGGACCGAGCTGCACCAGTTACAGGCGGGTCAGCAGCTCAACAAGAAGAGCGGCATCGCCGATCTGTCACCAATTCTGGACGCTGATGGCATCTTACGAGTCGGGGGGCGACTAGAGAATGCCCCACTCGACGAAGACGCTCGCCATCCCATTCTACTCCCAGCAGGTTCTGATGTGGCGAGGATGATCATCTACGAAACGCACCGTCAGCTCATGCACGCCGGCGCAGAACACACCCTGAACGAAGTTCGCCAGAAATTCTGGATTCCGAGGGGTCGTTCGCAGGTAAAACGAGTCCTTATCGACTGCGCCATCTGTCGCAAGAGAAGGGCGAGACCTCAGCCTCCAAGAATGGCCGATCTTCCCGCTGACCGGTTCAACACCTCCCACCCGTTCAGCTTCGTGGGGATCGACTATTTCGGACCGCTCACAGTCAGGCGGTTCCGAAAGACGGAAAAAAGGTACGGCCTGCTGGTGACGTGTCTGGCCACGCGAGCCATTCATCTGGAAGTGTCCAACAGCCTGGATACTGACAGCTTCCTGATGGCCTTCCGACGGTTCGTGGCACGCCGAGGTCGTCCAAAGAAGGTTTTCTCCGACAACGGAACAAACCTGAAAAGCGGTGAACGTGAACTCCGAGAGGCACTAACACAGTGGAACCAGCAAAGGATCTCTGACGAGCTGAGCCAGCAGCAGATCGAATGGTGTTTCAACCCACCAGCCGCGAGCCACATGGGCGGCATATGGGAAAGAATGATCGGCGCAGTCAAGAGAGCGCTATCGGTCGTGCTCGGCGGCGAGGTGACAACAGACGAGGTGCTGTCAACTGTCTTCTGCGAAATAGAGAGCATGATCAACAGTAGACCGCTGACACACGTCACAGACGATGTGAGAGACCTGACAGCTCTCACGCCGAACCATTATCTCCTGGGGAGGGGAAGCCGTTGTCTTCCCCCTGGAGTCTTCAGCAGCCAGGATCTGCACTCCAGAAAAAGATGGAGGTACGTTCAAGCACTGACGGACCATCTCTGGCGAAGATGGAAAAGGGAGTACCTCCATACCCTGATCCACAGGAGAAAATGGCAAGCTGACCAACGGAACCTAGCAGTCGGCGACGTGGTGCTGCTAGCAGAATCTGACACGCCCCGAGGTCACTGGCCGCTGGCGCGCGTGCTGCAAGTGTTCCCGGGGCCTGACGGCCGAGTCCGCGCCGTACAGCTGAAGACAGCAGCAGGTGGTACGTATACCCGGCCTGCCACGAAGGTGGCGCTTCTGGAACTTGCCCCGTCGCCTCCTCAGCCATCTCATTAGCCGACAGAACGCAAACAAGAAATGATGCTGGCTGGCTGTGGACTGTCGAGCCCACGCCCCCGAACGAGCTGAAGTAAGAAAGACTGTTGTGCGCGTACGTGCCTACCGACGCACTCACTCTTCATCTGTATTTTGCATTGCCTGAACCTGAACTTCATAACTCGCGCATGTGGCCGTTTGTGCTTTGTAGTTCGATTTAGGCGTGTAAATCGTACTTGTTTGAACGTCTTTGTCGGTGATCGTGTCATTTTGTGTTCTCCCTGTGGTCAAACACGGGGGTGGAGTGATGTCACCGACGAAAGTGTTCGGACCAACCCGCGCTACCGCTGTGCCGCCGTGATAGCCGGCCGGCCGCCGTGACACCGCGGCGCCGCCGCCGCTCGCTGCAGCCGTCCCGCCGCCGCACCGCCGTCACCCCGTCCAGACTCAGGATGAGTTGTGAGGCATTGTGCAGGGCGGGGCCGCGAGCAGACGCGGCCGGCGGTCGGTACGCGTGCCGCCGACGCTGCCGAGCCGTAGCAGCGCCGCGGCCGCCACCGAGACCGAGATATAAATTAAAGACACGTCGTTTTAAGGCACGTAGGCCGCCAAGCTGGCGCCTTCAGACACCTCCCCGCTGCAGTGCAAGTTCGCACTCGTTTTGCACACGTCTTAAGCATTGCGTATAAAATGTGGGTCACGTACGACCCCGGCAGAGTCTCACTTCGACCGTCGCGCTGTGCGCACGGACTGATCTGCCCCGCTCGACGCCTCGCCCGGCTGAGCGGGGACAGAGCACAGAAGCACGCGCGCAGACCGACTCTCCTGCGCGCAGCCGCGCCCGGCGGGGCAGTGTCAGTGCTTCAGATTGTACAGCGAAAGTGAATTGTGCTCCGTGTCTGCGTGTTTCATCTACCAGTTTTCTTCACAACTGCTTCCGCTTCTTGCTTCGCGTATACTTCAATAAATCCTCTACGGGAAATCTTCACGTCTATCTACTACTGAAAATCGCCGAATATCAAAAACCCAGGAGCTCACATAGCAGGCGGGCGGGCTACGAATGTCGCACAAACTCACCGAATAAAATACAGTCCACATCCAACCAGAAAAGAACTCCGAACGACAGTTTGTCGGCGACAGGCACGTCAAATTACCCTGCTTCAGCCGGCAGCAACAGCATCACTCACCGAACCGGCATAACCCCGATGACGGCAACAATAAAATTCAGGTGTTCACTCTCCGGCACCGATCGCAATTCAATAGACCGGTCTATCGCGGTATACATCACGGCATATCACTCAATAGACAATTCGACAGGTCTATTGCGCTCCGCCGGACCGACCCAGCTGCGGGCGTCACAGAGCCGCGGCCGCCGTAACTCATGCACGGCACCCCTACCTCAAATGCACCGGAGTGCGCACTGCGCACACCGCACACCAGCCAGCACACTAGCCAGCACACGGAACGACCCGGTATGCGGGTCGACCCACAGCGTACAGCCGGATAGTGGAGCAGCGTTCCGAACTTCGTATATGATCGGATCAGTTGGCAAAATTGATACCCCTTATTGGCCAACCATAAAAAAGGATACGGCTCAGATACATTGGATTACATTGGATTATTGAACATACATTGGATTCGAGTCCTCGCCAGGACATGTTTAAGCTTTGAATGACAGCTATCTTTTACATAGATAATGAGTACAAAAGGGAGCCAATTATGCAGGAAGTGCCTCTGCTTGTGCTCAATATGTATGCTACCATTCTCATCTGACTCAGTCCTACAGTCTACAGTCTACAGTCCTACAGCAGGCACCTTGCTGCTTTCTGTCCAGGAGCCGACCAGCGACCACCGTTCTATTTTCACCGGGCGCACTGCACCGTCGACAGAGGCGAGTTATTGATTTAATTAGCGTATGCGGCTGTTGACAGGAAGCCGGGCGAGTGCAGGCGCGAAGCCCCGCCGGCGCACCGCCGACTACCTGTGATACGATTAACTGGCGGCGGCTCCGGTCTACCCAAGATGGCCGCCGGCTCCGCCCGTCACGGCGCAGGCCGGCCGGTCGATGCTCAAAGCCTCCGCGTCAGAGGCGACAGAATTCATATTTGAAATAGGACATGACGCATTTTGCAACATGGTGGATGAATACTGCACCAGTGAACCATGTCAGGGTAAACTAGGGAAAGGAGCAGCCAAAATTGGTCATTTTCCCATGCGTTGTTTTGAGATGCTCCCGTGCGCCCTGCATTCTCTGCGACCGCCAGCGCATAGGAGAATATAATGGTCTGCGGCTTACTTAAGTCGAGCTCAATGCTGTACCATGATTGAATGGCCTACAAAGAACGTCCTTCAAGCTGGGCTTTGCCGGAAACCCGCTTTTTTAAACCTAACGGTTAGCATACCCACGAACAGTGTGGGTGCCGCCTTGTTAAAGGGACACTCCCACCTTAACATTAGTTTTGAGTTGAGATAGCCAAATTGGTGGCCATGGCCTGCAAATACCGGTTTGGGCACTCACAACATCGAAAAATGCTTTAAAGGGACCCTCCCACCTTAACATTAGATTTGAGTTGAGATAGCCAAAATGGGGTCCCTGGCTCACAATTACCGGTTTCGGCACTCACAACATCGAGAAATGCCTTAAATCGGAAATATTGAATTTCAAAATTGCAGCATTTTGATTCAGAGGGGCTAATGCTGAGGAATACCCCTCTGAATGTGTGACGTCAGCGCAGATATCTAACGATTTTTAAATGTTTGACTAAAACGTTTTGTAGCACGCGGTGGTATATGCTGTTTGCGCGCAACATCTGCCGCAAACGCCGCACTTCTAAAATAAAGTCGCTAGAAACAGCGGAGATCCCAAAAAAGTAAACAAAAGTAAAAGTCTAATATCTTGAAAACCGGTGAATATTTTTCGGTGAAATTTGGTAGATATTCGTTTTTGCTCTTTCTGAACCGAGCGACATCACTTTCATGCCGATTCATAAACTTTTTTGAAGGTGGGAGGGTCCCTTTAATTCGAAGATATGGAATTTCAAACTTGCAGTTTTCGGATTCTAAGGGGCTAATGCATTGGAATGCCCCCTTAGAATTTGTGACGTCAGCGGAGATCTAACGATTTTTAAATCTTAGACTAAAACCATCGTTAACACGTGGTGGTATACGCTGCTTTGCGCGCAACGTCTGCCGCACTTTAGGGCTGCCAAATTATTGCTTCCAAATAAAGTCGCTATAAGATCCCAAAAAGAAGTAAACAAAAGTAAAAGCCTAATATCTTGAAAACCAGTGAATATTTTTCGGTGAAATTTGGTAGATATTCGTTTTCGCTCTTTCTGAACCAAGGGACATCACTTTCATGCCAATTCATTAACTTTTTTGAAGGTGGGAGGGTCCCTTTAACTAAAGATCGACCTTTTCAGTGGACATTATGCAAGAGGAGATGCAATCACGTCTATCAATTCAGCAGCAACGAATATCAGCCTCACAGCAGCATATTTCGGGGTCTTTCGATTTGGCTGAAAATCGGTATACAGGGCCTCCTCGATGCGCTGATTCCGAAAATGTACCTCTTTGGGGTGGTATTTTGGAACGTTAACGAGTTAACGGCCATTTAACATTTTAACGGGAAACGGCGGGGTCTTTCGATTTGGCTGAAAATCGTTATACAGGGCCTTCTCGATGCACTGATTAAGAAAATGTACCTCTTTGGGGTGGTATTTTGCACCGTTAACGAGTTAACGGCCAGTTAACATTTTAACGGGAAACAGCGGGGTCTTTCGATTTAGCTGAAAATCGGTGTACAGGGCCTTCTCGATGCGCTGATTCCGAAAATGTACCTCTTTGGGGTGGTATTTTGCATCGTTAACGAGTTAACGGCCAGTTAACATTTTAACGGGAAACAGCGGGGTCTTTCGATTTGGCTGAAAATCGGTGTACAGGGCCTTCTGGATGCGCTGATTCCGAAAATGTACCTCTTTAGGGTGGTATTTTGCACCGTTAACGAGTTAACGACCAATTAACATTTTAACGGGAAACGGCGGGGTCTTTCGATTTGGCTAAAAATCAGTATACAGGGCCTTCTCGATGCGCTGATTTCGAAAATGTGCCTCTTTGAAGTGGTATTTTGCATCGTTAACGAGTTAACGATCCGTTAACATTTCAGCAGCATATATCGATTTCAGCAGCAAATTTTCGGGGTCTTCCGATTTGGCTTAAAATCGGTGTACAGGGTCTCCTCGATGCGCTGATTCCGAAAATGTGCCTCTTTGGGGTGGTATTTTGCAACGTTAACGAGTTAACGACCAATTAACATTTTAACGGGAAACAGTGGGGTCTTTCGATTTGGCTGAAAATTGGTAAAAAGGCCCCCTCGATGCGCTGATTCCGAAAATGTACCTCTTTGGGGTGGTATTTTGCACCGTTAACGAGTTAACGACCAATTAACATTTTAACGGGAAACGGCGGGGTCTTTCGATTTGGCTAAAAATCGGTATACAGGGCCTCCTTGATGCGCTGATTCCGAAAATGTACCTCTTTGGGGTGGTATTTTGCACCGTTAACGAGTTAACGACCAATTAACATTTTAACGGGAAACAGCGGGTTCTTTCCATTTGGCTGAAAATCGGTATACAGGGCCTCCTCGATGCGCTGATTCCGAAAATGTACCTCTTTGGGGTGGTATTTTGCATCGTTAACGAGTTAACGATCCGTTAACATTTCAGCAGCATATATCGATTTCAGCAGCAAATTTTCGGGGTCTTTCGATTTGGCTTAAAATCGGTGTACAGGGTGTCCTCGATGCGCTGATTCCGAAAATGTACCTCTTTGGGGTGATATTTTGCAACGTTAACGAGTTAACGGCCATTTAACATTTTAACGGGAAACGGCGGGGTCTTTCGATTTGGCTGAAAATCGTTATACAGGGCCTTCTCGATGCGCTGATTCCGAAAATGTACCTCTTTGGGATGGTATTTTGCACCGTTAACGAGTTATCGGCCAGTTAACATTTAAACGGGAAA